TACTACTACTATTGCTACGACGACGACAACGACGACGACGATGACGGCGATTACGACTGTTACGACCATTACGTCGACTACTCCTATTGCTACTACGAGTACGACTACTACTACTACCACTGCTACTACCACCACGACGACGGCCAGTACGACTGTTTCGACTATTACGACGATGTCTGTGGGTGATGACCGTGTTGTTTTGAGGCTGATTTTGCTTAGTGCCGTTGCTACATATGTAGCACAACAGCAGGAAGAGACGTAAAAGCTGTTGAAGAGGGACACATATGCCGCATTCGCGTTTCTTCCTGGAATGTGGCTGTGCTCTTGGGCTTTTGTGGCTACAGGAACGCCCCCTTGAGCGCAATTTCATGGATGGTGGCCAGAAACGGATTCCTTTTCGAGGTGCCAAGCCTATGGATTATGGTATAGGTAGGCTGTGCATGGAGAAGGGACTACACTTCTGGCCACGACCCTCATGCAGCGTAAGTATGTGCAGACTTCCCAATGCCGCACCTCTGCCCACACGCACGAAGCCGAGGCCCCATATACCTTAAAGTGATGCTTTATTATAGGGCTTATAGAGCTTACATAAGCGACCTTACTAAGGAATGCATACCCTAAACCGAAACCACCCTGGCCCTTGCCAACCATTGAAAATCTCGGTGGCGGCTGACTGCGCCAAGCTCTCTGTTTTCAAAGAGTGAATTGTGGACTTTCTCGGAAGTGGAAACTCCAAAAAAGGGTTCCTAGTCATGAGGCTTTTGTTACCTTACTCCTAGGTACCCCTTTTACAACAGCATGAAAATCTGAACCAACACTTCCTTGAACCCTGCGTTGAAGATCCGAACTTCTGAGACGCTCCGGTGCCTTGCAAAACTTACGCCGTCGGTGTCCCAGCCGACAAGGATCTTTTGATCTCCTTAGCCGGGCGTTCTCCATGTTCTCCACGACTACCAATAGTACGTGAGTCAAGGATGGCAATAGTAATGAAGCTGCTGGGAGAATGAACAAGACTGACAGAGCTTTAAGCTTTAACTAAGCTCGGACACTCCGAGTGTGTAGTTTTTCATGTGGCATAGGCAAGATAGTGCAAGGCCTTGTTCTGGAGTAGTTTTGCCAGTTAGTTTTGCCAGTCCGAAAACCTGTTATGTCAAATTGATTTGCAAATCTGCTCATGCTGCCACACGTAGGCAATCCCAAAGGCCACACTTACTCTTGATCCCAAAGTGTTACCCGAGTGGTTGATCAAAAGCACACTTCAGTTTCCCGGGACCAAGGCCTCCGGATGCTTGCCACCCTAGGAACCCTAAGCCCTAAATCCCCCAACCCTTTTGCAGCAGGCTTGCGTAGTCTCGCCTGGCCACAGTGAACCGCTCGTGTTCAGTATTAGCGCGCTGAGAAGCTTATGGTGCCAAGGAATAGGTGCGTCAGCGTTAATTCTCTCATCTCGGGCCAGAAGGCAGACCAAGCCAAGCACCAAAAAAGTCAATAGCATGTCAATAGTAGCAATATTCATGGCAATCATTCTAATAATAACGCTACTTATGATACGAATACTTATAGTAAGAATCAAGCTGACAGTATCAACAGTAGTAAAAAAAAAGCAGCAATCACACTGATAATTCCCAAGTTTTGCTGTAGAGTTCGCCCATATTTCAATGCGGAATTAGGTGCTGCGAACGTGGGGTCTCCTTACGAGTTAAAGCATACGAAAACAACTGCTAGCTTTGTCATGTAGTCCCCTTCATCGTCACTCATGTCATCGTTGTCCTCACAACTGCATGTCGCAATCTAACAAAATAGAGCAGCTTCAACCCCGGCCGGCAGCAGCAGTAGAAGTAGGAGCAGCTGCAGCAACGGATTGCTGCCGCGCGTGAACAGCCCTTGCGATGCTCCAAGGGACGAGGTAGGCCTCATTGGAGGGGTCGAGGAGCAGGGCCTTTGAGATGTGCTCCTGCAGGTGATCAGGGAGGCCCTTCGGAACGGACTTTGAAGGTTCAGAACTGTGGTTTGCAACTCTGGAGCCGCATGATAGCAGAATTCTTGCAGTTGCACGTCTGCGCAGCTCCGAATGACTAATGACTAAACTCAGGTGGTTGCGTGGCTTGACAGGCAACAACTCCCGAGTGATACTGCTATGCAGGGAGTCCACACGTTCATGATTATGAGCAAACGAGACCTTCGCGAAAGATTGCGACTTACAGTCACATGGCTCTTTCGGCAGGCTACGGCAGTACTCTGAAGCATGCACACGGAAGGGATACACACCCGAGTGATTTAATCCTGGGCTTTCTGGCTGTCTTCCAGGTACATGTACAACGTCGCCAAGTTGGCAAAGCAGACATGTAACCTCAACAGGGCTGGGGGATGTGTGCGATCGTTACATACACTCCCAGCTGCATCTTACGCATGAACACTATGCTACAAAGCCTTGGGGCTCTTGAGCTCGAACAGGAAGGTTGGGGCACAAGCAGGCAGCACACACAACTTAGACCTTGCACCCTGGCGGGTCAGTGTGCGTATCAGATGCGAAGACAGTTTGCTGAGTTGTGAGGAACTTACGGCTCACCTGCGCTTCTAAGGGCTTTGGGATTCGGGTTCAGGGTTACCATTGGAGACAAGGCCATCGGAATCAGGTCCAACATTTAACATCATGAGCTGCGGGTTAACACTGAGTGATGCCCTGCCATGACATTGCTTTTTTGCCCAGGCACGATGGGTCCAGGCGCACGGCCTGGCAATAACTCTCGATGGCCGCCGCGATGTCATCCAGCGACCTCGTCCCACTCTACAGCTGATTAGAAGTTGCGGTTCCGGACTCAAAGTTTGTCTAATGGAATCGTGGGGCTTTAGGGTTCCAGGTCTGAGGTTCAGGTTTATGCCTCCTCTGCCGCTAGGACTAGCCGTGACTAGCCTGCCTGGCAGGATCTGGGGTTTTCGCAACGTGATTGAAGAACGAGGCCTAGGGACGGAAGGTCTTCGTTCTGTTTGGATCTCAAAAGCCCATCCTGAACGAAAAGATCAGCGGTAACCCCTTCTTCCTGAAACCCGGATTTCGGAGCATTCCAGAATTTCTGGGCAGGTTAACGCCCGAGCGGCTGCATCGCCACTCCGAGATGTGCCCAGACTTCGGCCTGGCCCACGAAGGAGGGCTCAGGATCTAGGCGGGCTAAAGAGAAGGCGTACTCCATAGTGCGAACAGGGCTTCCGTGGTATACTCTATACGATTTTATCGGAATGGCAAGGGGATATGTTTACTACTTCTGCTAGGGTGTTTAGGTGTGCGGGTTTGTCATGGGCTCTTCAGAATAATTAGATCCAAGGAGAGGGTGAAAAAATCAAGGTTCCAGGGCTTACGGTTTAGGGCTTCACGGGTTCAGAGTTACATATGCTTGAAAGTTCGTGGTCGGTTGAAAACTCAGAGAAAACAGGGTGACAAGTCCACGAGATAAAAGGGGTGACAAGGTTGTTGACGGCACGCTGCTGTTTTCACAGGTGATGCCGCACTACGTCTTAATGTACGCTTGGTGTCGTGATTTACTGCTCGGTATTCCGCAACTCTTCAGTCTGCTGTGCTAGAGCTGCTTGGCGGTTGCATCATGTCGGACAACTCCGCTCATGCCTCAAGCAGCTTGAGGGTGGGCTTGCCTCCTTTTGCCACTGCGTAACCAAAGCCGTGAACTACACACCCCAAAAAGCGGCGTGAGTTCGGAAGTTCAAGCATCCCAACACCCCGCGCCGAGTCTTGCGTATGCAGTGCAACTTGTAGCCTTATCCAAGCACTACATCCCCAACCAAGACCGCAGCCTCCACAGCCCGGAGCGAATGTCGTTCAGAGCTCGTCCTTAAAGCCGCCAAGACGCACCTCGGTAGCTCCAACTTAGCATGTGGAGCTTTCAGAAAACGAGCGGCTCCATGTCTTTAAGGGCTTCTGATCACAAGGATCCTACTGCTGACGGCTGGGGCCTCTCGAAGCTTCAGACTCCCTGGCTCCATAAAACATTACTTGGAGGTCCATGGGTAGTTATAAGTGGGGTTATAAGTCCCTTGATATGGGCTACACCTATAGTTCCCCTACTCATAACCCCCACTTGTAACTGCCCATGAACATCCAAGTAAACAAAACCATGCAGAACTGAAAACTGAGGAGGCCTTAAAACCCTCTGCCGTTCCCGAACCCGGACAGCGCAAACCTCTCAAGCCCCAAGCCAGTATAAGTACTTCACATCTCGCCCCAAACCGAAACTCGCACGCAAAACTGAAAATGCAATGCTCCCTCTTTGCAAACTCTAGAACCTATAGACCCATAAACGAAAAAAACCCATGGCCTTTGGCCCAACACTCGCATGAAGAGCAGGGACACAGCCCAAGGCACCGGAAAAGCTCTGCCGCCTCAGAGAAGCGCTGTGCTTCGCAAAGCGCCTCTGCACAGGATGATTCCCATACTTAGCAGCTTAAACTTAAACAGAAAGCTTATGGCTTTGGGGCTTAGGGGTATTTCCTCCCGCTTAGCTGACTAGGTCCTTAGGTGGCACTGCAGGGAAAACACCGCATGTCTTTTAAGCTGCGGGGATTGGTTGGAAGTAAGGTTCTCTCTTCAAGCATGGAGGAATTCGGGGGTTTGGGCGTTCAGAGCGCTCGTGGCGCCTTGCCTTGGTTGCCTAACCACCGACATTCGAAACGGGATAGCACAGATTGCAAGCTGCCTCTGCCCGTGCGAACACATCTGCGGCACTCTCACCACCACCAAGGTACCTCAGAGAGCAATCTGCATTCTCGGCGGTGTTTCGGAAAAAGGTCGCCCTCGCATCTTTGCGATTGCTGCATGTGCAAGGTTGCATCGGAAGAGACAACCCGCAGAGCAGACACCACGGAATGGTTCTTGAAGTCTTGACGTTGAAAGCGCATGCAGCCGCACCTCACATGCCTAGAAGCTGCCTCAGCCGCGACACTTGGCTTCTCTGAAATCTGAAAACTTCAAGGCCGAAAGCCCTGCATCCTCCAGTACCTCAAAAGCTCGAATGTTCCACGCAACAGCTCTAGGCAATTCGGGGTTTTTCCTCTGAAGCCGGGAGGCCGCATTGCCCTTGTCCGGCTGTCCTTGTCAGTTTCCCTCTCCTCGCCATGCGCCCGTCCGCCAACCCCAGCGGCACGAGCATTCTGCCGCGCTTGCCTAGGATGCATGCGTGACTCATAACGTGTCGTCGCCACAGCCTTTAAACCAATGACCACAAGTAGTAGAGCCAGAAACGGTGAAGGCCCGCTAGGCCCTTTTTGGCATCTTAGAGGGCCTTGCATTCCCAAACGCTGCAGCCCAAAGACTTGAAGAAATGGGGGCACTACAAGCTCGAACAGCCGGGACACTGCAAAGCACTTCGCGGCGATGTGGCACCCGGCTTCTGGCTGCCCTTTGACCTGGGCACGCTGGCGCACACAAGATGAAGGAGATCTCTCCCGTAAAGGCCCTCTTCGAAGTGCAACAAACATACAACAGAGAAACATCGAACCAGCTGGAGGGTCCGGGGAAAACTGAAGGTGTGCTCATGAGCTGCAAGAATCTCGACGAAAGAAATGCGCAAGGCCACCCTCGAAAAGTCCTAATGCACTGGGCATTATGTGCAGGGGCCTGCGCTTGGTTGGAACCCTCCATGCCCACCCTCACCCTTGCAAAGGCTTCAAGTGCGCCAAGGGTCGGCTCACTGCTGACAGGACCTGATGCCAACTCCGACGTTTTCATTGACATTGGGCTACATCTTCTGGAGGCTCTGCGTAGCTAACCATTCCGGATATGCCGCTAGCTGAATGCCGCAAAGTCAACGACAGCAATCTAGATCACTCCAGCAACTGTTATTTAGTACTAAACCATTGTGAAGCTATGAACACTACTCTCAAGCTGCTGAAGTGCTGGAGCTATATGAGACGGAAAGTACCACTGCAAAGCCCGCGAGCCTGCTGCGCCCACCGCCGACGCCTTGGGGAAAGGAGTGTGCAAGGCTGCAAAGGTCGGCTGCTCCAGATGTACCCTGTTGCTTCAAAGGGATCAGAATACGAGTACGTGCTGGCATGGCCGTAATCTACGGCTTAGGCTCGCTTGTCTGTCACTCGGTCACCTCGCTGTCCCGCGGTGTCGGCGGCTTGTCGCCCTCCACGGGCCGAAATTGGGCGGTCCTGGCCAATCGCTACTTCTCGAAGCCCCCGGCCTAACCCTCACCATCGATTCCTCACGCCTCACACCTTTAGTGTCATTTCGACATGAAGCTTGAGAAATCTCTGGTGCAAGTTCCAGTCCAGCGCGCATTCGGTGGATCAGGGCTGGAGTTTTCCGGGCCTCATTCTCAGCTAAAACAAGCTTGGAAGGCCTAATGATTTCCTGTTCAAACTGTGGCACCCCAGAGCAGTAGTTGAGCCCTATTCTTCGACAGCAAGACAACAGCAGTCAGGACTGTCACCCTTCCAAAGGCCACAGCTGGGAGGATACGCGCCACGCCGTGGACGACTGCCACTGCCGCTGCTGCTGTCGCCTGACGACGCATTTTGCAAGGTCGAGCAATGTCGAGCAGCTACGCAGACCATCCAGTGATATACAATGATGCTCCAAAAATGAGACTGAAATGCGAGACTAGAGGTCTTCCACCAACAGGCCCCTGGAGCTAGGGAGGGAGAAGGATAAACTTGAATCATGGTCTGAAATAGCAGGACAGTCTAATCAATACAGGCATCATTTTTGCATCAGCCGTCTTTTCTCAAAGCGACGTAACTACTGTTGTTTGGTCCGAGAGAGAGAGAGAGAGAGAGAGAGAGAAAGAGAGAAAGAGAGCGAGAGCGAGCGAGCGGTTACAAGCAGCAGCAAGTTAATGCAGCACATCTATCCTCGCTAGCCTGCAACACAGAGTCCTTCTTAGGAGATTTAATAGGGATGCCTTTCCACCCGACCAGGCACACTTGGAGCTAGGGGCGCTGCATGTCTTACAGGATGGTGAAAATTGACAACCCGCGCCCATGGCACACATGACCTAAAGCTCCAGAATGTTCGGAGCAATTCGCGGCCCAGCGGCTGTTGTACAAGCAGCTGCTGGGGATGCTGCCTTAGCCAATGGCACATAGATGGGGCAGAAACGGCAAATGATGCCAGTCTCTCCTGGTTTTCCGAGCAGAACATGTGCCCCAGCTGATGTTTGGAGGAAGGTGTGCTGTTGTAGCGTTTCGGTTTGTCACCAGCGCAATGCAGCGTTCGGATTTCCGGCGGCTAGAGGCCGCCCAGCGTCAACCGAGGACGACATCTCGCCATTGCTCCCCAGGGATCTCTTCCGCAGCAGCCATCTGAAAGCTCCAGCCGTCTGAACGGGCCTTCCTGTCCAGGCAAGCTCGAGTTACAGAAGTTCTGGAGACTTTTGCAGTTCGTGCTGCCTCCGCCAGCGAAGGAAACAACTCCCACGAAGGCTTACCATGTTCACCACTCCAGTGCCCCCACACTGGCTTTCCGTTGCCACGTCCACACTTGCTTTCTTGTCTTCGGGAGTAAGCATGCAACACGTTCTCTGAAGGTGTCACGTACTCCAAGTTGTCGGAGCAGTTATTGCCGGGGTTGCCATCTATGTGGTTGACTTGTAGATGTCGGGATGATGGAGGTCCGAGGAACGTGGCGGCAATCAGGCTGTGCACCATAAACCAACCAGCCTTTCCGCTGGTAACATAATACCCGCCTCGTTGCAGCGTCCCGTATGAGGTTCGACCTGACTTGGATATCCTTCCAAGTGTGCTAACCACGATGTTGCTCATGACCTCGCCGGTCTTGGGGTGAACTGCCTGCTTCCACACCTCGTGGCTGCATTCGTGCATCATAGAACCCACATTATCAACAGAATCTTCGCTTGCGAACTTGAACTCGAAGCCGGACGTCTGTCGAAGAACTCCCCTACAGCATTTCGAGACCTCAGACTGAGGTACACCGAGCTCTCGAGCCACCTGTCTTTGTGACGTGCATTTGGTCCAGAAGATGTCGGCAGCCCGACGCCAGAGCACAGGCTTCGAAAAAAAACGGCGACCTTTGGCGTACGAATGAAGCATGTTCTCTCCCGGAGTTACATACTGCAGATTGCGGACAGAATTGTTCGACCGGTCTCCGTCTATGTGATTGACCTGCACATGAGCCGAAGTTGGGGGCGTGCCTAGAAAAGATCGAGCGACGAGTCGGTGCACGAACAAACTCTGCCTCCCGATCGCGACGCGACAATACCCGTCTCTGCGAAGGGTTCCGAAGCTGATCACACCGCGCGTGTTGCAGACGCGACCACATGAGCTAACTTGCCAGCATCGCTCGCGGCCTATATGGTACAGGCGGATGCTTTCGGAATAACGAAAAGCTGCGCGTGGTGGGCTCACGGTATGGAGAGGCTCATGGCTCTCATGCCAGCTGCGCAAAGTCACACCGACAGCCCGCGAAAATCTTCGCATCGTCCGCAGAAGCCCGGCGCACAGGCTTGAGCAAAATGAAATCTCAGAACATCACCTCACAGCCCTGCAGCCAAACCAACAAGCCAACCGCCGACATCTGGAGGGATGGAACAGCCGAAAGCTCGCAGGAAAGATAGGCAAGTCACGCTCGGCGGGCTCGGCTTTGAGAGACAGGTTTTCCAGTGCCTGAGTTGCCCGTCTGAATTGCCGTAAGCAAAACGAAAGGCAATGCTTGCCACAGGCATGCACTCACTCACTTTGTAATCTCCACCGTGGCACGGGAATGGCAGCCGTCCCCTTTCGCCCATCGGCAACAGGCGCCGTGCTGCTGCCTTTTTCGTTGCCCCGCGCCTGCCTCAGTGACGCATCGGGCATCGGACAAGCAGCCAGAATATCAATGAAGGCAAGACCCATTACTAGGATACTGCTGTCAAAGAGGAAGTTGGTAATTGCGACCACCAAAACAGCAACGGAAGTGCAAAACCGCACTGCGCTGATGATGACGATGATGGCGAAGGTGATGCTGATGGTGATCATAGGACTACTGTCCCCGAGGTGAAACGACAAAAATGTGCAACAATACTGCGACTGGCGCGGTGTGCGAGACCCAAGCAGTTTGCAAAGTCCGAATCCCGCAATGGACAGGAAACACGGTGCTCTTTCACGGACCTTTCATCACCTCCAAAAAAACTTCGACGATCCTGCGCAAGGCATCAACCATCAGGGTGACACAAAAGCTCTACCCCTTCCGACGGAAAAACAAGGCCTAAGGATACCGGATGCCGCATTCGCTCCTCAACTAACAACCTTAAACGAAAACCCGGTTGAGTAACCTGTCGGCACTCGGCACTGCAACGTCTGAACCATAGGGAACCTTTCAAACTAAGGCGGCTACGGTGTGTTAACGCCAAGCTTTCTTGGGCAAGGTTCTACCACTAGGAAAACAGTACACTTATTGTAGCATGCTCTGCTGATGCTCTGATCAAGATGCGCCCTCGGGCTCCGCTGCCTGCCCTGGGAGGCCGCAGACTGCTTTCCCGACTCGGCCGAGCGCGGCGAGGGCTTCGGCGAGCGGGGCGAGGCGGAGGCCTCCGAGAACATGGCGGGCTAATTTCCCCGAAACTGTATACACCCTAAACTACATCCTACTCCAACGCCTGCTTGAAGAATTGTAATTTGATTTATGGTTGTTTGACAGGCCTACTTTTTGTGTATGACTATGACAGTTGTAGGGGGGTTGTAGGTATCCTCGTTTAGAATGTAAGCTACAAGCAATTAAGTCGTTGTGTGCCTGGTGGCCTGCATCCACAAGTGGTTGATCATCTCCCGTACACGATAAGTAACACGGAATCCGTGCGCCTTTCGTCGGAAAACTACAAAGACCTTGCAGACTCGTTCAAAGCTAAAGGATCTTAAATCCAAGCCCACGAGCCTCCCCTCACTGAGCCGCATGCCAGACTGAACAAAACCTACAGCCAGACTACTCAACCAGACTCCAAAACCAACCCCAACACCTGATCCCAAGAGCAGAGCCCCTGTGCTGGCCTTGGGTGGCGAAGCTGATGCCTGAGAAGCAGCGGCAGAGCTCTCTGAGGCCACGGAGCTGTCCTTGGTGGTTTCTCCCAGATGCCCGCCCCAATTCTGGCCGAAGACCTGCAGGATTTGTCGTTTCACGAGTATTGGCCCTTGGCCCGCATTTCAGAGGTCCAGGCATTCGGCACGCTCAAGATTGCCAAACCCGCTTTGTGTATCACCCAAGTCACGGGGGTGCCGGAGCTGCGCACTTTTGGAACACCCAATGTTCTCTTCTCGTCCATGATCCTCCGGAATGCTGCAGATCAAGGGCTTGAAGTCTGGGTTCAGCACACTTCTCACAAAGCCAGGATTCGTCCTTTTAAAATCTGAGGATGTTTGCTCCAATGAACTGTGGCAGCAGCGAAAAAGTCCGTCCTCTGCGAAAGCTCCTTCTTGGCTGCCGGCATCGACTGCTTGGACCCAGTTCGCATGGATCCCTGTCCAAGGCACGCCATCACAAAGAGTAACAGGGATAATTTTAGAAGAGTCCTCGCCAGCTTTGAGGGCTGACCTCGCCGCTGCGATTCGGCCGTCGCAGACTGCTTGCCACGCATGCATTTCGGACGTGTATGTAGGAACCTCTATCTGTACATGTGTGTGCCCTCGCATGTTGCACAACGAAGTCTTAGGACAAACCGGCAAGAAAAAAAGGAAGGATACTCAGGAAACGAGAACCGACATGCATCTGAAGGCTACCTCTTTGGCAGCTGCACGGATAGATTGATGCACAGCGCACACTCTTTCTAATTACAGACATCCATCCATCCACCCTGGCATGCATGCATGGATGCATCCGTACATGCATCCGTACATGCATTCATACATTCATACATAAATTCATTCATTCATACATGCATACATACATACACACCTTTGCACATCTGTGCCGCTTATGGAAATGCACAGTTCCCGTACATACGCAATGTCCGGCCACGAGGCTCATCCACTGACAATTCTTCGGCATGCGTCATTAGTCAAAACCGTTGTTCGGTGTGGCTCTTATACTGTACATGTTGTTACGATCACAATGCATCATTATAGCCACCCTTCAGCCCACCTCGGCTTTCGTCAAGCGCATCTCGATGGCTTTTAGCCGTGCCTGACACAGCGGGAAAGCAACACAAGCAGACACCATGGAACATGCCAGCAACCAGCACATCCCTGTGGTGCATAGTCGCCCGTCGTTGCGTGGTGGCTTTGGAAGCGTGCTAAGAAATGTTGGGCCTAGCACTCACTGACATTGCATCTTGCTCTGGCTCATGGAAAACCTTCCCCTTCGGCTTGCCTCGCCCTTGGGCTTGTCCTCCAGCTTGGCACCTGTTTTCGACGATGGGAGGAAAATTTCTGCAAATTCCGAAACAACTCAAAACGATCAGTGACTAACGGAGGCACTTGGCAATAATGTAAGACTTGCGAGATTTTCAGGGATTACACGGCTTGTTCGATGCTCTGAACTCCAGAAACACAATGACACTTGAACCCCGAAAACGTTCTACTATCAACTAAACCCTAAATTCTATCAGAAGTGTCGACTCAATCCTGGAATCCTACTGCAACCCCTTAGCCCCCAAAATCTGTTATTCTATCGACTAAACCCGTACTATTTTCGCCCTATAGGCGCCTGAAGCCTCAAAACCCTAAACCCTAAAGCCGCCTTCTGCCGCTGCCAAAGCCGCGGCAGCCTCTTGAACAGCTGAGGAACGGCTTGAACAAACATGGCGCCCTAAAGGGGTGGCCTAGGTCGTATAAGGGTCTAAAACGGTGTTTATAAGGTTGCATTAACATCGAGGCCGATATGTGCGAGTAGGGGTTTGGTGATTTCGTGCTAGAATATACGACAAATGTAATGGGAACTCTGGGATATAGTATTACTAATTTCTCGTGCTTTTGTACTAGAGGCTTCAACTTGCCTCCGCCAAGGGTTTCTTTCTTGATTGTCGTGGGATGTTGAGTGGGCTTTGTCATGTCATCTGTTGGGGGATTTAATCGGGATCTTACTCTGCTGGAACAGTTTTGTGTAGGACTGCTGGGGAACAAAACGGCAGGCCCTCGATTTAGGATCCCATTTGTTGGAGCCTCGTTGGTTTGTAGTTGGTTCGTAGATGTTTGTAGCTGCATTGTAGCTGTCTAGCCCGGGAGGACCAGGCCTGGTTTGGGGAGCACAGGTTGCTTCGGAGAGTCTGCGGAGCACTTGATTTATTTCTTTCAAGGTCGGAGCATACGGGGACGAGAACCCAATATACAAGCTAGTACCTATTCAGCTTGAGACTTCGTCGAAGTTCTTGCCTGTGTCAGACCACTGTCAACATCAAAACACCAAGTCACACCCCCGAATTTTCCTCACGACGAGGCGGTGCCGTGATGGAGTGAGCAAGACCCCAGCCAGCCTCTTCATCGCGGCCTGGCCGGTACGAGGGTGCGTTCAAGCGATAGGCCGGAGGATTCAAGTTGTACGGAGCCCCAATCAAGAGCGCCGGAAGTAAAATAGCAAATCAACAGACCCCACACCTGACAGCCCGCAGGGCCTCATATAACATGATAGAATATACTATTATATAATATGGCGGTATTATACTATTGTATACTATAATGCTGTAGATGCTTGTCATCTCTGGGTTGCTCCTCCCGGCCTCGGCTGAAGGCCTCCAAACACATGTTCAGCTGCCGGCGCGCCACGTTGACGCTGCGACCGCCAGCCTGCTACCCGGCAGCTCACGAAACGAAGACAGCGTGACACAGTTGATGATGCCAACCTCACTATCCGGGTCCTGATTAAGCTCAAAAGCTCCATGCAAGATTCTCAAACAAGTCTTTTGCCTCTCAACATAATCCTTCCATTCCCCACCCTATTCCTCAAGATCTGCTTCAAACTCCAAACTCCGAACCTAGCATCCGAAGGTCTCAAGTGCTCGACTTTCCTCGTCTGCTGAGGCCGGTGGCTCCAGAATGGCCCTGAGTACAGTTGAGGGTCTTGGATGCGTCAACATACACACGTAGATAAACAGATCAGATAGATAGATAGATGGATAGATAGACAGATAAACAGATCGATAGATAGATAGATAGATTAGCTACATTCGTTCGCTTGTTTATATTACAATATAAATACATCTACCTGTACGTACATGCACACACACAATCACCTGAGTAATTGTGGGGGTCAAGGATGCAGGTTTCAGGAGTTAACAAAAAAGAAGCCGAGGCCTGGAAATCCACCCTTTTTGGCTTTTGGGCTTGAGGCTCTGAGGATGGAAAGCTGGAGTTGTAACTTCGGATGCCCGCCACGCAGTTGGAAGTGGATTCCAAGATGGGAACCCCTCGAGCGACCAAACAACTCGTCCCAGCACATTGGGTAAGCAGTTGACGGAATGTAAGGCTCTGCTTGGAAGCTCCTTGGCAGCTCGCTGCTTACGATTAGTGCGCTGGCTGCAAATAGCAGCAAACCAAAGACCTCGAATGAGAAAGTTCCACTCCTGAGTCAGAGGGTCTGAACCGCCGGCAGCGGGAGCTGTGTCTGCTCGACATGGCGCTGCCGTAGCCTCGCGTTCTCCTCTTACAGTAGCTACGGACCTTAGGGAGGGGTGAGTACGGTGTTCAGGGTTTAATTAATTTGGTTTGGGATAGTTGTCGGGTTGGTAAGGTTCCTTGAACCCTGGCATGTCATAACATATCTGGAACGACAAAAACGACTAATCCCTGAAAAATACATCGTTATAAACACCCCTCAATCTGGGATCTCCTGGAGCATCGACGCAGCAAAGCTGGAGAGCTTCCGGATCGTGGCGGAGCACCACTCCGAGTGCTGCCTCGCAGGGAAGCGACGGCTTCAGATGAAGACTATTTAAGGCTCATGCAGAGGGCTTCACTAGTTCGCCTTGGTGCATGTACAACTCTAGTTACAGTTCCTGTTTATGTCTTCGAATTCGACGAGCTTTGACAAAAACAGCCTACATGGCAAAGGTCCTATCTCAGGACCCGATCGCTGCGTTGCCTGATCTCCGCGTCCAGGCTGGCCGGCGGGTGAACACGATCCGGCATCCTCGGCAAGACTACATGTTAAGCTTTCTTCGAAGTCGGGACCTCTGAGTCTTCTTTCGACGGTCTTAGCCAAAAAAAGATACGACAAGGTGGCATCTCTGTGTACATGCCGTCCTGTGGGCCAGGTCTCAGACCCCAAGCCCCAAGCTCAAGACCCCTGCAGCCCAGCGGCAGAGACTCTACCTCGTCCTCTCTGCAAGCGGGTGTGGGGCAGTGTAGGGTTAGATGGGTTTACGATTTTAAGTTCAGGGTCCAGCGCAGCTTAGGGTTTATGATTCCGGCTTCAGATCGGCAAGGAGCACGACATTCAGCAGACACTGCGCAGCAGACTCGGTACTGTGCTGCCTCCAAGCATTGTGAAACAGACGAGACGAGCTTGCCTGGCCAACTACGATGTTTGACACAAGCCACCTCAAGCTTCCATCGCAAGTTCAGTCAAGGAATGCCTGCGGTGTCTCCAGCAACACTCGGGGCCGCCTTAAGCTCTCGTAACGGGAGGGCTTGCAAGGCCCGCTACAACACGCTGCAAAAGGGGCTACATTCACTATCTTTAAAGAAACCAGGCAGCAGGAGTCCTTTTCCCTAAAAAAAAGCAGGAGTCTCCTGGAAGGATTTCGGCAGATCTTTCAGACTCTGCCGGCAGGTCTGCTCCCAGTCGCCGAAGCCCGCAACGGTCTGCTCCAGGGGTCGCAGGCATCCGGAAAGGTTGGCCACCTCGTGGGGGTTGGCTTGGGGGTCTCTTAGGGAGACTTATCTGGCTAGCATCCCCTAAACCCCCAAGCCCCATAAAGGCTCAGGGCTCACATTGCAGCTGAGGCCTCTGTTTTCACACGCGAGAAATGCGGTTGCCGTTCCACGTTTCTCTTCTATTTGTATCTGTCCTCCCGGCGAGTGAGAGAACCCTCATTCAAACAGTTAAACCCTAAACCCCTAAACACCAAGAATGCAAGAACCCTAAACCCTAAAAATCCGTAACCCTAAACCTCCAAAAACTCTTTTGCAACAGGCCTCGCTGTCCAGCAGCCCAGTCTAGCCAAACACACCCTAACCCAAAAACCCTAAACCCCAAACCCAAAAAATCCTTAGGCCTAAACATTCCATAACCTAGAACCCTAAACCCGAAAAATTCCAAACCCTAAACCCTACCAAAACCCAAAACCACCTAAGCCCTAAAAGCCCTAAACCACCTCAGCCCTAAAGATCCTAAACCACCAAAAACCCTAAAAGCCCAAAACCACCAAAAACCCTAAAAACCCTAAAAAGCCCTAAAACCACCAAAAACCCAGCTTCAAAGGGCCGCCTCCGCCCTCAGCGCGCCGGCGGCGTCGGCCTCGGCGCTGCGGCGGAGGCTCCGGGATTGCTCGGCCGCGAGCTCCTGGGCGGAAAGATGGGAAGGGTTTAGGGGTTTAGGGTTTTGGGGTTTAGGGTTTATAGGGTTTAAGGTTTAGGGCTTAGGGGTTTAGGGTTTAGGGATTTTTGGTACTTATAGAGTTTCAGGGTTTAGGGGTTTAGGGCTTAGGGTTATGGGGTACTTATTTTTCCCACCCGCCCAGCTAAAGGGTTTTGGGTTTTTGCCTCCCTGCTAGCTAGGGTTTAGGGTTTTTTCCCTCTCGCATGGCTGAGATCTATAACCTCGCTTGGTTTGCGGTTTAGGGTTTGGCGGTTTAAGGGGTTTTAGGAGTTGGACTCTCCGCGACTCGTACTCTGCAGTCGAGGCTGGTTCGGTTCGATTGAGCACATTGGCTACAGCTCACTGTCGGCAATGGAACATGAGCCCTCCACCAAGATGTCGTCAACGTGCTGCGCTTAGGGGTTTCCGGCTTACGGCCTGTTGGGGGATTTAAAGGGTTTTTGTCAGGCACCGACATCTGTCTACACAGTTCTATACATGTAGACACACATACACATGCGCATACTTAAAGATGCATATACACATACACATCTACACTTCGCGGCGCTAGTCCCAGACTTGGGAAGTCCTCGTGCAGGAATGTCGTCTGCTTCCTCTGCCTGGTCGGTCAAACGAAACCCTGAACTCTAGCACTTGCCTCAAAACACATAAACAACTCGGGGCAGCGCGGGGCGGGCCGACGCACGAATCCTGTAGGTCCCTCCGAAATGTGTTCCGTCTGGGCTTCGTTCATAAAGCAATGCCTAAACCCTATAACCCTAAAGCCTCAAAGCCTGGTTCAAGCCCCTCGACTCAAGGTGTCGCGGAGCGCCTCTCCACTTCCTCGAGCTCGTGCTGGTAGGCGTTTTGGAGGCTCCAGAATGCCCTCAGAGCTTCGTCTTGCTCTTTCCTCGGCTTGGGCTTCAGGTTTACGGAGGAGTTCGGCGTCCCTGCTGAGGCGGTTTGGGGTACATGTTTGGGGGTCTCGGGTTCGGCCTTTCTGCGTGTAGGGCTTTAATCGCAGGTGTTTCTCTCTTGGAGTTTAGAGTACAAATTTTGGTGTCCTGTGGTGTAGCCTTCTAGGAAATCCGGTGTTGAGATCCTGAACATTCGGTCGGTTCTTTAGCGGACATGCTGGGTCGTGGCTTGAGGTGTTGAGGTTATGGAATGCTTGGGGGTTAGGAGATGACTAACAGTTTTCGGCTTCCAGGATCACGGCTGCAGGCGTCTGGACTTGAGGGTAAAGGTTGTAATGGTTGGGGTATTTTGGGTCTGGGCATGTCTCGACGCAAAGCTGTTGCTTTGAGCTTCATTCAGGGCGAAACCATCCGCGAGGTGCCAGCCTGATTTGGCAGCGTGCCTTGCCAGCCTGAAATTCTAGCACCTGAATAGTAAGCACCTAAAGCCCTAAGTGCTTGAAAGAAATTAAACTCTTTTCAAAGTCCTCCACCCCAATTTGCACAACCCACGATCATCCCCAGACCTCAACCGACCTCAACCAACACCTCCGAAAACTCCTGTTCTCAACCCTGTCCTAGACCCTTCCAGTACCCATGTACCCATAAGAGGTATCAAGAGTAATCACGGCCCCAGGGACACGGCGTGCCGCGCCTTTCCAAGCTCGGCTTCCGCCTGCACCAACTCTGCCTTCAGAGCCTCGCTCGCAGGATGTAGGGTTCTCATCTTAGTTCATAGTGTAAGGTTTAAGCTCCTTGTTAATGAAAAGGGCTCCCGGTTTGAGATTCAGGGTTCTGAGTTTTCGATAATCATTAGCTTTTAAGTTGGAGGTTTCGGGCCTGCTTCTCCAGTTGCTTGACACTCACACTCGGACTTCTCCTTTTTGTACGCGATCCTTCTCTGACACTGGCAACTTAGGCAGTGGCCTAGGGTTCTATCGGGCCTATGCACACTTGCAAGCATGTAGTGCATAAGAGTTGCACTTTATTGCCACCGCTACAAGGGTTCCAACCTGCCAAAGCCAAGCCATGGTTGAAGTCCTCACCTCCTCGCGGGACGGCATTTGCACCAGCTGCTCCTTGCCAGGGCCACGTTACTACTTGACAGTTATGTTACCGTCATAAGTAGGACCATAAGCACCCTGACTCCGGATAGATGTATATCGACATATGTAAAGTTATACTCCAGTCCTCATGAGCCGCTGCTTTTCAAACATGCACAACATGGTCCACGAGGCTTCTAAACTTAGACTTTGAAGAATCACAAACCTCTGCAGAGCCATGCGCAACATCTGGAAGCTGCACTTGCAGCGTGTCCCTGCCGAGCCCGAAGATGGACGGATTCCCTGCAGACGTGAATCCTCCTAACCCCGGGGCTTCAGGGTTGTTACTTAAGGCTCATGAGGCCAACGACCTGCTTCTGAGAGTTTGTTGTTCGTTCGAAACCCCACAAGCAAGCCCTACTCGGACCCGAAAACCCTGAACCCCAGAGCTCTCATGTCAGACCGAGCCCTGGGCCGTAATTAAGCCTCTAACCCCACACCCGAGGGCTCTAAAAAACTAAACCGCAAGGAGGATTTAAACAGAGTTCAGGACTCGGATTGCTTCATGTTCGATGTGGGAATTTTATGGGAATCCTACCAGAACACCTCGCGAGTCCCCGAGCCCCCAAAAGTGAGAGCTCCGAGCAGGTCGCCTGTGCCAGGGCAAGCTCAGAGAGGGCCTGGCGCTTTTCCAGGCGCTGCGCCTGGTGCATCGATGTAGACCCCTGGCTTCCCTGAGCCCTTTTCAGGGTTTAGGGTTAGGGTTTTAGGGTTTAGGGTTTCGACCCCTTGAACCCTCTGGACTCTAAACCCGACCTGAAAACCAAATGAAAAGTAGGGATCGTCATGTTCACGGTCTTGAAGAATGGGGGGGGGGGTTGTTCGTCAGGGCTCTACATCACAAGGGACTCCGGGTTCTCATGGGGGCCTCAGGCTTCTGGGATGGGGATATTCTCGAGGAAAACTGGCTAAAGACCAAACTTCGTGGATCCCTCAAGAATCAGAAGGGGACTTCTTCAGCACGCGGAATTGATCAGAGGCTTTACAGCGAGTTTGGGGAGAACTTTGATTTCGCTCGCAGCGACACCTTAGTCCTACGGGCAAGGGTTCTGCACGCAGAAGGCATATTTTAGTGCTTAAGACAGGGCAAAACCCGCCTCGAGCTCGTCAGCACACGTCACCCGGAGTTCGGCCAGAGTCTCATTGAGCTCCAGCACCTCGCCCATGTGGGAGATTCCGAAAATGAGGGGTACCTTAT